TCTACATCGAAAAATATCATCTTACGTATGAAAAGAAAATTTAAAATAAACGCAGTAAATGATAACTTAGTTATATAAAATTTAATATATATAAACATTTAAACTTCAAATAGAATTAAATATATAAACTGTAGGTAAGTGATCATTGTAATATTGATATCGGAACAATTAGGAAACACGCTTACAAGGGGAGGTACCGATTTCAATCTTTTTGGGGAGAGATAAGGGAAGAGGAAGTTGATTCTACATTCAAAAATATTAACATCTGTCCCTGTGTTCGTTCCAATGGGCCTTAGGAGATGAGAAAAAAATATGTGATTTTAAAAAAATGTAATGTTATTTCATTTTGCCTTTGCTTTGCTTCAATTTCTAGTTTATAATATGCCAATCGATTTATTTTTCGTCGAGGGTAAGAAGCAATTAATACCAATATTATGAGAGACGGTTGTGACAGTCGTCATAATAGCGGAACTACATGGAATTGTCGATATAATATGAGGTTTATTAGGAAGAAAGGGATGTTTTGCCTGTCTGAACGTATTAAGCAGTATTGTTGACGCATCTCTCGATATTGATACTAGTAGAGGGCTTCATTACATTTTAACAAACAAACGTATTTATTTTAATACAATTTCTTTGAATTACTGTTATATCCGTACAGAATAATGAATGTTTTTTCGTCGTTGAAGATGAAAGATTAGTAGTTACTTTGTACATAGGTAATTGTATATTGTCGTGACTGTGTTTTTTTTTGTTTTGTTTTTTGCTAAGGACGTGTCCTTGTGACGTCGTGTATGGTTGTGACATATTTTCTGGGTAAGGTTCTGACACAAGCACATTTTTTTCTTCTTTTCGATACCCAGAAAACGTTCGAGGAAGACCAATAGTTTTTTTTTAGACAAATTTGTGTGCCTTATTAGTTATAAGCGATTAAATTATTATATAATTTTATATAATAAAATACAAATTATTTTTGTTAATTTTTTTAACATATCATTGCTGATCCCAAGCACTGCCAGAACCGCTCTTGGGATGGAGTAGGTTATGATATTTTCCTTCTTCTTTTTTCTACAGGTTTCCAGCTGAAGAACTCGTATGCCAGAAATGGCTAGGTAGGATGAGAGAAAAAAAAGGTTTGGTTTCCAGCTGATGGTTTCGGAAGTGACACTTTTTATTTTTTTAAATTTATTTGTTATTTGAATCAACTATTTAATAATTAAAACTATGATAGAAGAATTTCATTTGTTTACATTTTTTAATATAAATATATTATTTTTAACTTAATAATAAAGATTATTGCAGGTTAGAAATAAATATATTTTATTTTATTTCCAGCTACCCACTGAAGATCAAGGTTTCTATGGTGTTATGAATAAAAATCTTGTATCTTCTTTTCAATTTTCTTTTTGTCACTGCCTGTCCATATATACTAATAAAAAGTGGCTAGACAAAAATTACAATTAAATGCTTCTGGTAGCAGCCAAAAGCTTTTTTGGATATTGCAGATTTTGGATGATCATTGATTATTATTATAATATATGTTTCTATTATATGTTCTTTTTGTAGACAGTTAAATATTAATCCACACACAAAAACAAACAATAAAATATTTTATAAATATAAGACATTTCGATTACCCTTCATGGTAGAGTCATTACCACAATAAAAATATATGAAATACAAAAATAATTTTTAACAAGATATTTTAGAAATAAATAAATATCATATCTTATTAAGGCAAAAATCAAAAATTAATTTTAAATACAGTTTCACGAGCTGTAAAGTAAAGACCAAAATGAGGAATAAAATAAAGTTTAAGTTTTCCTAGATTAACGTTGAGAAAATTTCCCCCTTATGATAATGGTGGGCAAAATTGCTACATAAATATAGCAAAAATGTGACCAGATTACCTGGTTACGATCGTAATCTGAAACATGATAACTGTAATCAAGCAAAAAGAACCACTGTAATCGTAAATATGTAATCATGATTACTGTAATTGTAATCGTTGATTATGATTATGCCCATCTATGAGTACAGCAATTGAGGGAAACCTTTTTTGGATGCATGTGGCTGTTTTTGGAATTATACGCCTCATGTAAAACCATACACATAAAACCTTACGTTAGAGATGTTTAAATCAGACATAAGTGATTGGGAATGTAATCCGGCTATAAATGGAACATAGGAGAACCGCAGTACGGCATTCACACCGCCAGCCAGTCTTCCAGCTAATCAATCCTCAACGCTACATTTTCCCCTCGATAATGTTCGAATTAATTTTAATCTGACGAATGGAGCGTGATAATGAGATACTCCCTGTGATGGCTCATTAGTGTGCCGGCTCAGGCGGAAGGCCTCTGTTCGCTTTTGAGTACAATCAGTTAAGCACAACTCATCGTGTGGTTTGTGACCACAGTACATGGCTGATTGGGTCCTGTTTCCTCAAGATGGGTGTAGTGGCTTACCCCTAACGGACCTATTATATCCAAATAGCTTTAAAAAGAACGTTTGTTTTGGTTTCAATAATAACACTAAACTATCATATCTATGTATGTTTCATTAAATTATCGATTTTTAACTTTCTTGTGACTGTAGACTAACTCATTTAATCAAATATTATTTTTTTAAATAATAGTTCAGTTAAATTAGCTAGTGTCAGTAGGCAGAAAAAACACAAGTGTTTGGAAGTTTGGCTGAAGATGTACTTCTCCATTTTTTTTGTTCAGCATTAATTAATATTATGGTTTAATGGCTTGACAATATATGAAATAGAAAAGTTGACTGATTATCAAGTAACTATTACTGCAGGGAGAAAAGGTATTTTTGTGGAATATTCCGATACGAAACTTTTTATATTTGGGTCTTTTTAATATCAGTGAATTAAATAGCATAAAATAAATGTACATATAATTTAAAAAATATTTTAATTTATTTATCACCCCTGCCCCTAGTAGGCAATACGAGTATCTGCAATAGTAAGATGTTAGGCAGGTCAGCTTAACATCTCACTGCCGCAAATAAATCTCATTCTTCTGCTCTTTCTTCATTTTTTTTTCTCTTTCTTCATGGTTGCTTTTCTCATCCGTTCCACGCCAATGGTATAGTACCTCTTTCTCCTCTTCTTAAATTAAAATGGGCTGTCCCCACCGCGACTTTCCACCCGTACACAAAATCTTTGTAGTACGGGTAGTTTTCCGCCGTGACTAAATTTAAATTAAAGTAAATTTAATATATATATATATATATATATATATATATATATATATATATATATATATATATATATATATATATATATATATATATATATATATATATATATATATTTATTTATTTATTTATTTATTAACCTATTCTCAGTGGTAGCACTAGACTTTTGCCACCACCGAGGTATGACGTCATCTCTCTCCAATTATAATTTAATTTATTTCTTAAACTGATTTTTTATTAGATGTCTATAAAGTAATATTTCAATTTTATTTTTTCAATATGTCTCTAATTCAGTAAATTTGTTAAATGGATACAATTATTTAGGAAGGAGATGGTCCGGGGTGGCGGTCATAAATAGGTTAAATAGTGGCAAAACTATTTTATTAAAAGCCAACGTTTCTACTCGATTTTGCAGGTCTTCTTCAGGAAGTGTGTTCAGCTAGGAGTTTCACTTAGAACTGAAAGCTAGGAGTTTCGCTAAGTTCTAAGTAAAACTCCTAGCTGAACACACCTTCCTGAAGAAGACCAGCAAAGTCGGGTCGAAACGTTGGCTTTTAATAAAATAGTTTTTGCCACTATTTAGCCTATGACCACCACCCCGGACCATCTCCTTCCTTTATAATGCAAGTGTCAACTATTAAATATTCGATACAATTATTTATTTAAAGACACTTTTTTTTTTAAATTTAAAACAATTGGCGGGAACCCCTCTTCACTTCTCAAGGCCCCGGGGCGATTGCCAATCATGAACTCTATATCATTAATGTGTATATACCGGTCCAAAATTGTACTTTTTCCTTTAGAAGCTGGATATTTAGTTTATTTTCCCAGGTTCTCCTAGAATGAGGAACTTCTTCATTAATGAATGGCACATATTTCTATCAGATAATTTATCCAGTTTGCTGTAACATCAATGAAAACTCCAAAATCGTATAGGCAAAATTGTGTAATCGTATTACTTTTTTTTCAGAAATATTAAAGTAAATAGCCTTGTTGGATTCCTACCTGCATTTACAAAACATAATGACATTAAGGTCTCTTATTTTTTATTACAATGCTTGAAACCGTCGTTGATCTGGTTTATTTTCCCAGCATGACACTGAGAACTTCTCATTCATAATGAATTGGTATTTTTTCTGGTAAAAATCTAATCTTTTTTTAGAACTTTCAATAAATCCATAATGAATGAGAAATATATCAAGATTAATTTGATCACATGTTACCAAAAGTAATTAGAAGGAATGTTATATATATAAATGCCATAATATTTTTTTACTATTTAAAAAAGTATTATAGTCAACTTAGTTATCTGAGTCAATTTTATTTGTATGTGCTTTAATATTGTTAAATTAATAATCTTTTGAATATTGCAGCAACAGCTGTCTACAAAACTACAAAATATAAATATGGTGAGAGAGAAAATGCTGTGAGAAGGGGTGTAACAAAAGCAGCAGTCGTGTAATAAGGGATCCGAGAACTAGGTCAGTAAACTGTTACCGTCACAATGTCCAATGCCCGACTATCAGGCAACGGCTTCCCACACTTCAGGTCCTCCGGGCTGGATAGAGTCGAGTATCTCCAGCGATCGCAATAAATCTCTCCAGCAGGCTCTCCCCTTATCCAATAATGAGATAGGCGATAAGTGCCACATGTTGCGGAGTTGGCTCCTATCCAACCCATGAATTATATATCGGCCGAAACGTCGGCTCTTACAGCCTTTGTCAACTCTTTGGCCCTATCTGCCGCAGTAATTCATAGGTCTTATCATGCGGTTGCCGCGGGAACCAATGATGAGCCCGTTTGTGTTTCGAATGATATGCGTCCTATCTGCAGCTATTAATAACGCACCAATTAGGCCTGCGGTGGAATGGATTGTAACGTATGGACACTCCATTGCGGTAATGGATTGCATCGAGATAAAGTAAGATGCCCTTTGAAGATTAAATTGTCGAGAATTATCCGTATTTCGCTCTTTCAAAACTTTAGTCTGTGCACCTGTCTTTGGTGTTTACTCTTTAATTTCGTATACAATCAATTAATTTAAATCTTGTTTCGTCAAATCTATTTAAAAATGTATATTTTAGTTTAAAAAATCATTATTATATTGTTCCAAGTTATTATTATATTGTTCTAGAAACATTTAATAATGTTGATAATGTAGTTTTATTCAAAATTATTCCAAATATTTTCATCTTATTGTTTTACTATATTTTACATATTTTCAGTCAATTCTTCGAAAACCATATTTGAAATGTTTGAAAATGATAGAGAAATACAGTTTTGCTGTGAACTCTATATTATTTGAATTAAAACAAAAATTGTTTGGTTGACGAGCTTAAGATAAAATATCATTAAAATACTGTATAATAGTCGAAATAATAAATTCAGCTCTCTTAATTTTACTAAATATATTTAAAAAAAGGAAAAAAGTCATATAAGATAAGTAAAATTGTTTTATATATTTGTTTAATCCAGATTTTTCATAGTGAATCAACAAGATCATTAGTTACTGTACAAAGTTATTGCAGCATACAACATTATCAAATTGAAGTGTCTTTAGTCGGAACAGTATTATGTGATCATTAATTATAATCTTTTTTTTAAAGACGTTTGAAATTAAAATTAGAACAGCTTCACTTACTATGCGTAGCCTTTACAGTATATATACCGGCCACCAAGTAGAAAACTACAACTTTTCAGTCTAAAACTTCAGTACTCTGTTACGTCAATAACATTACTTAAAACAAATACCTTCACATGTCAACAGTTATATGAAAACACTACAATATATTTCAGAATAGCTTGGGAAAATAAATTCAATAATTCAAGGCAAGGCCACAATCGACATACTCGCTTAAAAGAAGCTGGATGAAGGATCGTCTTAACTAATCAGAAATAATAAGCTCAAGATAGGAAGCCAATGGACACTACCCTCTCTTAAGCCTATAATTGACATATTCATTGCCATTCTAGCTAATTCACTATTAGTCAATATTTTAGATAGGCATGAGTACGAAAAAAAAATTATAACAATGTTTCATATCTTAGTAACCAATGAAATGTAAATGAATTCTCTAAACATATTTTAATTTTTTTACATTCTATCATTCATATATTTAGTTTATGCCGAAATGAAGCGTCGAAGCTATCAATAATAAAAATTATACTAACTCTCTGTACACTATGTTTCCCAAAAATTCTGAAAAATACAATTAGGGAGTAGATATATATATATATATATATATATATATATATATATATATATATATATATATATATATATATATATATATATATGCCATAAAGATATATATATATATATATTGCCATAAAGACTCAGCATATTTCATAATAGTGGCAATATTCCTTCTACTCAATATTATAATAAACCTTCGAATAGAAGAAAGGGACGGTGCTGACAACAAAGGATACCGAATGACGAACGCCTTTCACAATATCGTAAAGGCAAATAATTAATTATTTAATAATTATGTCTAAAACGCTTCTGATTACACAGGTGGCACAGGACAAAAAAAAAATTATTATTGACAATAAATATAGTATAAACTACAACGAGTAATATAAGCAAATATTGTGGACAAATGTAGACATAAAATATATATATATATATATATATATATATATATATATATATATATGTGTGTCTATTTTACGAAAATAGCTTTATATACATAAGGTAAAATAATAATATATAAATTCTTGAACCTGTAATGTGCACACAGTTTAGTGAATTGATTTTTTGTTTTTTTTTACTGCCTCAGATATGTCAAATAGTCAACCGAAAAGTATTTATCGAAATTTCAGATTCTCTGACTCTAAAAGACGACCTAAAAAAGTTGTTCTCTATAGTCATCCCGAATTTCTAAGAACTCGGATCCTCAACCCTTATCGATGGCTCTTTAGGGATATGTTCAAAGCAAAATGAATTTTTAATAACCGTGTTCTGAGAGTTCATTTACAATAAAAAAAAGTCTAATCGTACTTATTCGATGGCTATAAAGAGAATCCATCGAACCTAACTGATACAAATTTAATAATTTATCTTTATTTTTTATTACTTGATATATAGAAAAGGGATAAAGTAACAATCTCGAAAATCGACGAGGTTGGGCCGAACATTTTATTATAGTTTTATTTTTCATTAGAAAATTTTCATGTCTTCGCTGGTTATTTATTACTTGTTCTGGTTATTATTTTAATTATCTTTTTATTTTATTTCTTAACTTAAAGTAATTGTTTTTCGATTATTATATTATCTTTTAAAATGTTCGATACATTTTTTTAAATTTGTTAATATATTATCGTGTATTTAGGAAATGACTACATATCAATAAATGCGAGATTATTGAATGATGGAAAACAATAAATGTATGTTAATGGATTTCTTTTTTAAGATATATCACCTCAACTACTTAAAATTACAGTTATTTTAGCTCAATAGTATATCATAAATGGTATCTATGGAAGCGACAGAAACTTCAACGAAACTTTATATTAAACTTGAACATCTCAATGGTTCCTACATAATTTCCTATTTAGGTAACTGTTTGAATATAGATTATAACATATAAAAAAGATAATTATGATGTTAATTAAAATTTTAGTAGATGAATAAGGAGTTAAAACAGAAATCATATATATTTTTTTTCTAATACAAAACTAAAAAACGATGCAAATAATTTCACAATGGTTTATTATTTCCGAACAATTATACATCTAAAGTAACATTACCTTCCTAGTTACAAAGAAAAATAAAGAAAAGGTTATTCCAATTGTTGGACTAAACATTTTTTTTTAATCATTAGTAATATGCTTTAAAAAAATTGCATTATTTCAGTAACACATTAAAAATTTAAAAACCAAACAAAGGATATAACATTTGGACTAGAACATCTGAAAAAAAACTGGAAACCTTATCTTTGCTCCTAATTCTCTTATTTCAACGATGTTTTTTTTTTTTATGAAGTTCCGTTAACTCTTAAAAAACCATTTCTACCATAAAACCATACAATATTGACAACAAATTTTAAACTTTTTGAGTTATTTGGAATTTAATTTTACCACCCCTCGTAACTTTCTTTCCAGCTTCTTTTCGTAGAAGTATGTTATATAGATAAATTTAAAGGGCATCGAGAAAATGACTAGCGAAGTTTCATTTAAATCGATACATTCGTTTAGGAGCCACAGTCTATAGCAACGCCGGTTTTTCGGCATCCATTTTAAAAGTAAAAGGCGGATACTAATGCCGATGAAGAAGAATCATCTCAGGTCGACCTCTGATTTTATATTCGAATTTGAAAAAAATCGGTCCAGTAGTTTCGGAGAAAATGCGCAGACGTGGACAGACAAAAAAAATTTTATTCGTTTTTCGAATTCTACGCATCCTGAAACGTAAAACCTCAAATTTTGAGAGGAAGTCAAGTTTTTGAATATTGTGGTCGATCACAATGGTTTATTATTGAAATTAATAAACCAATATATAATAAAATAAATTATTTCGTATAATAAAAAAACAATACTACGTAGAAACCATAACGTCTTTTTTCACTCCCGTAACAGTAATCAAATAATAAATTTAGCTGAGGAAGTAGATAAAGCTATAATTTTTTTCTCAACCGGCCCCTCGACCCTGTAAGACAGATGATAAGAGGTGAAAAAAAGAAAAAAAAATGGCAAAGTTTTTTGTAGGAAATGGAACCGATATTTTGGGCGAGGCTGGTGGAAGTTTAAGTGTGATTAACTTTTAGCAGATGATTAACTCGGCTCAGTTTATCTTGCCTCCTCCTCGCCGGCAAAAATTAACTCTCCACTAATTTAAGGCCGCCTACGGACGGGAAGCGATTTTTCAATCAACAATATTGCCAGTGTGTTGAAAACGGTAATCATGAGGATATATTTACCTCTATTACTTTTTTTATAATCATGTTTTGAAACATAATTAAAATTAAAAAAAAAAAATCTATTTCTGCTTTCCGAATGTGTTTTTTTTTTAATTACTTATTGTTTGTAACCAGTGTCTTGCACGTTGCAAGAACAAGATCAAGGCCACCTAACTGTTGCAAGACCAAGACCAGGACTGGTATAAAAAATCGATTTTTCAATAAAAATTAAGGCAAAATAGTTACTAATGCTTGATAATCTTAGTAACTATATGTAAATAATTGGTATAACCAATATACTTTTGCAATTAACTCCTCTAATTTTTTATTCGGGCTTAGTTATGATTCTACTATATAAAAAAATACCGTAATATCTCTGTAGTAATAAGCTAATAAGTAACTGCAAGACTGCGAGACTTGCGCAAGATCAAGACCATGACCACGAATGAGTTTGCAAGACCAGGACTCGTCTCGGTCTCCCATTTGGGCAACACTATTTGTAACTATATTAATCATATGTAATATGTACAATGTATATGACTTCATATGAAATCCTTCTTTACCATAGGTGGGTGACCTACAGTCTTTGCGAGCTGGATGTTAGTTTTTCTAACATTTATTAAAACTTTAATCTTTATGAAGTATGAAGAAAGAATTCATAGATTAAGTAAGAAATACTTTACGATATTTTTGAGTTTGTGGGTCGTAACAGTACATAATTAGGGACTATAAAATAAAATCTTTAATTAAGATCCTTCCTAAAAGATATCAAGATAAAGAATTATTTGACCTTTTAAATAGTGAAACTCCACTCCTTCGAATACCTACTAAAATTATACCTAATATTTGTACAAATAAATAAAATGAAATAAATAATTAAATAAAAATCGAATAAATAAAGAATATAAATATAGAGCTGACATGAATCTAATGCTACTCTCATTTAGAGCAAAGAGATTTTACGAGCATAAAATAAATTAAAAACAAGTATTCCTCATTAATTAAGACGTTTAGGAGAAAA